GCGAACTTTTAAAGGTGTTCGTCTCGAGCTTTTAAAGGCATTCAGATTTTTAAAGGTTTTCGTTGCGAACCTTTAACTTTTAAAGATGTTTGTCTCGAACTTTTAAAGATCTTCGAATTTTTAAAGGTTTTCGTTGCGAACTTTTAAAGGTGTTCGTCTCGAACTTTTAAAGGCATTAAGATTTTTAAATGTTTTCGTTGCGAACTTTTAAAAGGTGTTCGTCTCGAACTTTTAAAGGCATTCGGATTTTTAAAGGTTTTCGTTCCGAACTTTTAAAAGGCGTATGTTTCGAACTTTTGAAGGTGCTCGTCTTGAACTTTTAAAGGTGCTCGTGGAAAACTTTAAAGGGTCCCTATTGCCGACTTTTAAGGATTTCTACCATGAGCTTTTAAGGGTCTTTGCCACGAATCTTTAAACGTCTTCGTCGCGAGCTTCTAAGAGTCTTCGCCACGAACTTTTAAAGGTATTCACCGCGTGTTTTTAAAGGTCTTCACCGTGAACTTTTAAAGGTCTTTGCCGTGAACTTTTAAAGATCTTGACCACGAGCTGTTAAGGATCCTCGCATAAACTTTTATGGGTCTTCCCCGCAAATTTTAAAGGTATTCGCCGCGAACTTTTAAGATCATGACCGCGAGCTTTTAAGGTTCTCTGTGCGAGCTTTTAAGGGTCTTCGCCACGAATTTTTAAAAGGTTTCATCGCGTACTTTTAAAAGTCTTCACTGCGAACTTTTAAAGGTCTTCATTGTGAACTTTCAAAGCTCATGACCGCGAGCTTTTAAGGATCTCTGTGAGAGCTTTTAAGGATCTCCGCCACAAATTTTAAAGGTATTCGTCGCGAACTTTTACAGGTCTTCATTGTGAGCTTTTAAAGGTCTTCACTGTGAACTTTTAAAGATCTTGACCACGAGTTTTTAAGGATCTTTGCACGAACTTTAAAAGGTATCCACCGCGAACTTTTAAAGGTCTTGACCACGAGCTTTTAAGGATCTTCGCGCGAACTTTTGTGAGTCTTCCCCGCAAATTTTAAAGATCTTCATCACAAACTTTTAAAGACCTTCGTCTCGAACTTTTAAAGTACTTCGTAATTTGACGAAATTACTTCTAAAAAAGAAAAAAGAAAAAAGAGACAACAGAGTAAAATAAAGAAGAAAGCACAAAAAAAAAATTACCTTCGTGTTAATGCCTATGAGTACAAAAAATAAACTCAAATGACTTGCAAATACGGTGAATTAATGCTCAACAAATACAAGCACAAGGTTTATATAGATTTAGGAGAGGAGGCAATAATAATTCATGTCCGTTGTGGGATCATGTTAAAGGAGGCGGCTCTTTCCGATATGGACTCGGTAGTTTGATCCTTCCGTGTTTGAATAGAAGTCGACCAAAGCAATTTGGTTTAGAGTGGAAATACAAAATGTTCGTCATTAAACTATGTGATAAAGGAGTATCTGTGCATGTTCATTAAAGATAGAGCTTACGTGTGACTCCAACTCCAAAGGATTAATAAGTAAGAATTCCAAATGCCAAAAAAAAAAAAAAAAAAAAAAAAAAAAAAAAAAAAAGTTGAAATCACTGGCAAAGTTGAAGTTCAAATGCCAAAAGTTTCAAGCTTATGTGGCTTTCTATTGTCATCTTAAAAGATGAATCTCTATTATAAGCAAATTTCAAGCAACCGACAAGATTTTCGTTACAAAAATTGCCTAGACTAGTAAATTGGGGCTCCAAAATCATCCCAGTTGATGTTTCCATAATACTTCAATCCTTGTCTTAAGTTGGACATGTCTACGATCGGCAAGTCTTGAAGTAGGGGATATTTGTAGGCATTTAAAATTTATCGGAATTAAGTGCGTGACATAATTTGGACTATATTTTAAATTCAAGATATATTAGTCCAAACAAATATTATGGGCTAATATAATTGAATTAATTGTATAAGTTCAATATATATGGATTAAATAAGTAAGTCTTAATCCACTGGGCTAGCCCATTTAGTTAGGCTAAAGTGATGAGCACACTTCATTAAGCCCAAGATGTCATCTTCCTAGAGGCCCAGTTTGGTGCCACGTGTCAAATGACATGGCGCGTCAAGTCAAACGGAAGAGCCAATAGGATCATGCCACGTGTCAAAATGACAAGGCATGCCAAGTCACACTAAAAGGCCAACGAAATCGCGTCACGTGTGCAAGTGACATGTTCTGGCCAATCAAATGTGGTCATGTCACACTTCAATTTGATTGGTCGGAAAGAGTTTGTTCTTATAACAACTCCTCCCTTCCACAACTATAAATAGGGGTCTTCATAACCCAGAAAAGGGACCAGAAGTTATAACAAGAAGCAAGAGAGAGCTCGTGGATCAAACGCCGCAAATTTCTCTACAAGTTTCAGACTTCAAGCAACCAAGTTCAAGTTCAAGAAATCAAGTTCAAGCTCAAGAATGAAGAACAAATCAAATATTCAAGCTCAAGAACGAAGAACAATTCAAGTATTCAAGATCAAGAATGAAGTCAAATCAAATACAAGGCGCTCAAGATCAAGGCTACTTGTTCATGATACGATTCGTGGCAACAATCAAAGTGTTCGCGACAGTTAAATCAAATTCAAATTCAAGATCAAGCTCGAAAGCCCTTGAATTTATACTAGAAAAATAGAATCAGAGGAATCATAGAGATTGTAACACTCAAATATTCGAAATAAAATACTATGATCGTTGCAATATTTTTCGGTCTTGATCATATTTTCTCGACGCAATTTATTATCTACAGCTAGGCGTACGCTTCTTGAGACTTTCGCCCAACACCATCGCCTCGAAGCGTTTTTGGTGCACCTTACCCGAGCTCGCCTCGAGACTCGCCCCGAAAACGCCTTTTAAAACGCCGTTGATGATTTGCACTTAAAGGGGAAAACGACTTGTCAACTTGGATAATTAAGCAGTGTATGCCTTCATTAAGACCAGCACTGCAGGTTGAAGATATGATGGATCTTTAATTCTTTATATTATTCACGACCATTGTAATGATAAGTTGTACTTTGACATCTCTATAACAACATCATATATAACAACACTTCACTATATAAGTCAAGCTTTTCCAGAATCAATTTTTATGTTATGTTATAATATAAAGGGGCGGCTCAATTACAATAGTGGCCTAAAGCCAAAATTATTTATGAGACCTTAAACTTTTGTTTTTCTTATTTTTTGGGATTCAAAGTTATTAATTAATATTTTATAATCAAATTCTTTCTAATAATCATTTTTTTCTAAAAAATACTCCCTCATATTATTAATTTAGTTTTTATTATTTGTTAAAAAATCAGTAAAGGAGCACCTTTATGAGATTATATCAAAGTTTCAGTTTATCTTATTTGCTTTTTTGAGTTTTGATCAATTCATATTTTCTAGCTGATACTCTATAAATTCTAGCTAGTGTATAACAAAAAATTAATATACTATATAGAAGATACCATGTTGAAAGATAATAAAATTTTATAACAATAGAATCTTATTCTAGAAGTTATAACTTAATATTCCTCGTGTCTCGATTTATGTGACACTTTTTGTTGTCGAGATTCAGACTTCTTAATTTTGACTGTGCATTTAGATATAGAATCTTTAAATTTTTTAAAATAAAACTTACATACTTGAAAACTATATAAAAGTACTATAAGTCACAAAAATTAATTATTTAAAATATTTAAAAGACATATAAATAAATACGATCAAAGTATAATTCATTTAACTCTCAAAATTCGAACACTGTCACGTATATTGGGATGAAGGGAGTAATTAATACCAAGATGAATCAGCTTTTTTTGTTTCCTTCAATACTTTAAAACTTTCAAAAGAATGAAATAAAATGCGAAATTTAGCTATAAAATTAATTACTACATAAAAATTTTGGGGGCCTCATGAGCTTGGGGCCTAAAGCAAATGCTTTATTTGATTGGCCCTTCAGACGCCCCTAATAATATATGTTTTCTATAACAGCACTTCGCTAAACATTCAAAAATATTCTGAACAAACGAAACTGTTATAGAGAGGTTTGACTGTAATACATGGTATTCTATAATCATAGCTTATGTCTAGTTTTACTGTTCGCGCAGTTTTTGAGTCATTGCAGTAGTTCAGTTTTTGACAGTTTTAACATCTTCCTACAGATGTATATAAACTATAACATGCTATTTTGCTAGCTTTTATTATATTCATGATATAAGGGAAAAGTTTGGTTTTCCCACTCTAGGATTGCTAGGGTAAGGTTTGGTCTCTCTTGTACTAATTTTTGGAGGTACTAATCCAAAAAAGGGGAGAAAAGGTCCAATTTTTCCTCCATACTATTCAAAATTGTTCAATTTGGCCATCCATTAAACTTTTGGTCCATTCATACCTTGTCGTTAGTAAATAATCTTTTATTTGTCCATACTATAACAAAGCTCCAACGTGAAATGAGTGGACTCCGACATGCCGAGAAAAAAGATCCATAGTTACCCTTTAACTTTTGACTAAGGTTTAAAATTACCCTTAGGTTAGAGCTCCTTAGAGGTCAAGTGCAAAAATGAGACATTTTCCTAATGACGGGGTAAGGTAGGGCTAAAGTTTAACGGATGATAAATTTGCTCAATGTGTGGATAATAGAGGGGCTAATTTGACCTTTTTCCTTAATAAAATAACCACATAAAATCCGAGTTCGGGACCTGGGAATTCTCCTTCTTCCAACTTCTCTTTTTTCGAAGTTGTAGAGGTGACCGTATGTTGGCCACCTTGGGTGGTATCCTACATTTGTGTATGAAGTTTAATGTATTCAAAAGTTCTCTGCTTCAATGTTATGCTTGCATAATCCAGTTTAAAAAACTTCAAAAAAAACATATTGCACTTCTTTCAATAATCTTCACCGCATTCAATGTTTGGACGAATGTTACTTCAAGTAAAAAAGTCTGATAAACAAATTAAAGAAACAATATGTTCATCAACAATGTAGTACGTACATTCAGACAATGCTATGACATAGTAAAAAGAAAGCTCCTCTGTATCGACATGCTCTGGTTGAAACTCAAGAAAGATCAGACTCGGATGAGATACACTTGTTAATAAAATCATCGAAGGTATTTCATTTGTTAGGCATCATCTAATATGTAAGGACCTACTTTTACAATACTTGTCATATCGACCAAATGAACTAACTTTCTAATCAAAAAGTAATTGACAGAACACCATTTGAATCAGGATTGCCACCTCTCTAACAAAACAGCTGTGTGATGTCTTTGGAGCATCTCTCCATCTACAAACTTCTAAGTATCTCCAATCATCATTATGGAAAGCATGAATCAACTATCATAGGGCATCTCATGATGAATCAAGGAACAAGGATGGCTGTTGGTATGAACCATATCATTTTTTTCATACTTTGATGATGATGGTCAAACTTACATAATCAGAGTTTCTCATTATTTTTTCCTTTTTCTTGATATGGCCAATGTTTTCCTGATCTATTTTCTTTTATATCTAAAATCACATCATTTGCAAAATGTCGTGTTTTAGGCCATTAAAACCAGCATATCTATTCAAACATTGGACAGAGCTACATGTTAGCAGGGCAAGGCACGGTTTAACTGTACTGAAGTAGCACTTCAGAACCTACTCCTTGGTTTAAACCAACAAATCGAACCAAAAAATTTACATCCTTCAGAGACCGAATCATTTAAGTTGCCAAATGCACATGGCCTATTTTACCAGAGTTCAACTTTGCACAGTGAACTGCCCTAATCTTCTGCCATAAACCAAAAAAAAAAGGAACAAGAGATGATAAGTGGTACAGAAAATTGGAACCTACACGATTTACAGGCACACTTTTGCCCACTGAAGATTGACATTGTCACATAATGATACAGACAAAAAAAAGACAGTTCACGATCCTCTAGTCACAGGAGTCCAAAACATTTTGGAAGCCAACTTATCCAGTTAACTAAACATGTGACTTTAGGAAAGAAATATATTTATCCACGTTTACACACCAGAAAACTCGCTAATCTTACCTTTAATGGTAGTCACTCACCTCAGCAATCATCATCCTGAGACCAGCTTTATAACAATAAATAAGGTGTTAAGGAGTATGAGAAGAACTCTCAGATACTGTGCCGCATAAATAAGTCCAAGAATCTGCCCTTTGAAGGAATTTCTCTTGACCCCTGAATATTCCTCAAAGCTCCACCCTCTAGGAGTAAGAAACCGGTCTTCATTTAATATAGCAAGAGCGTTTGCAATAAGTAGGAAACCCTCGAGAAGTGTCCACAAACCCATATGCTGAATCATGTACTAATATCAGTATATATTTTCATAAGATTCTAACCAATCAAAGTTCACTCCACTTTTCTTGTTTCCTACTTATTAGCAAAATTATAATAAAAGATGAGCATGTTCAAATATAGAGAGTACAGACATCCCATCAGTAAATGAAGCCAGTTAAGACTTAGGAGGAGAGCTAAAAGCTCATATACTTCTTGCTAAAATCTTCAGAAAGATTTTAAGAGGTAATTGAGTACCCTTTAAAAGAAAAAGTACAGACTCTTTAACAGCTTCCCATGTTTGATGTAATATATGAACAAGAGATGCTAGCAAAACAAGTAACAAAATAGTCATTTTCCTTACCTCTAGCAGCTTTTATAAGGTTAAACTTTAACACCTTATTTATAAGAACAATGCAGCTAGAAGCCAATTTCAAACGTTCTTGTCATTGGTATACAGCTGTTGCTATTGAACAGAGCAGAGGAAAACTGAAACAAATAGGATTCCGGACTGGTGGTATAGAAACTTAGCTATTTTAACCAGTATCATGCAAACAGAGTCCCTATTTCAAAAGCTTATTCAAAGAGAATCAATTCAACTAGTTTATCCATATAGTCTTTCTTCCCTTCTTACAAAAATAGTTTGCAATGCAAAATGAAAAAATGAGAGACACAAGAAAAAGGCTAAATTATGCTGCAATATGTTTAATTCTGGTCAAACTAGGAGTCCTGAGGGCTTTTTCCCCTGTTAGGCCAGTAAGTAAAAGAGGAGGGGTAAAATGTTAGCATTTTCAAGCCATCCCACTAAGCAATGTAATCCACATATCCCTCAAGCAATGTAATCCAATGTAATCCATGAAGAAAGAAATGTTAGAGAAGGAAGGTCGACTTGATACTCAACGAAATCAAGATGACACCTCAATTGAGTAAACTCGACATTTCTTTCTCTGATGTTCTTTATATGTGAAAAATGTTACTTATGTGAACCTTTTGCCTGCATTATTTCTATCATACATGATTGCAATTTATAAAGATATAATTGGACTTCGCTGTTCAAAAAAGGAAAATATTCATATGCCTTCACAACAACACTAATAAACTCATAAATAGTTTTAGATACATCCTTATATTTTAAAGATTGAACAGTTCTAAAAACCCTAAGGTCTAAAACATTCAAATTCAGAAAATTTGGAGGTTGACATATCAAAAAGAATATCAACCCATATTGTATTGCCACTTGGCGAATTTCTTCATCATCATGACTAATGTGTGTTGCATTATCTTACTGAATGAATATTGGATAGTTTGTCTCCTCGTAGCTATTTTTGTTTTAATAGAAGGAATGACATGTTTGATCAAGTATGCCTTACAACGTGTATATTTATCGAGGTAAATGTTTTTGTCTCTGTTGTGCCTGCGGGTCCATTGACACGAGTTCTTTCGGTTGGCTCTCATGTGGAAAAAAAGAATAAACTAATTTTTCCAGACAACATTTCATTTTCTTGTGCATCAAACCTTGGCCGAGCTAAAGCAACTAAAAACGTGATTTTTCAATGAAAATTTTGATTTTGCAATTTTAAAATGAATCATCTTTAGACAGCAAATACTAACACTCATATTGTTTTGTCATGTAAAACCAATTCTCATCAATTTAAAAATATTATACATGTCAATGAAAATTGGATCATGTGGTATACCACCACCTTCAAGCATTGATATGCAAAATTGCGAAGGAAAACTTTTTAGTTTCTTTTCTTAAAATGAGGCCTTATAGCGTTTGACTGCTTTCCTATATCTCCATGATTTAAGTGCCCAACCAAATCTCGACATATACACTAAACAAGCTAGAGTGTGAAGATTTGTCCGTTTATGAAAAAGGACCACTGCAAAACGATCAAAGTCAAGATTAGTTATCTTACGACCACAATTTCTTGTCTTTTAGTTAAATGCATCATTAGGTATACCATATTTAATTGTTTCCAAATGCGTCAACTGTCCATATTGAAACTAAAAACAGAGGTGCCACCACTCTCGTCCTCCTTTCCCAATTTTCTGTCAACGTTTTTTCAGTAGCATTACAACCACTTTTCTAAGTTCATCATTATTTAAGTTTTCTAATTTCTTTGATGGTGGTGATAATACTTCATTTACATTGCTATTTTCTAGATTTTCATTTGCTTAAACAGTATTTTTTTTGAAGGACAAGCACACAAGAAAATGACCCCATAGATACAAAAACATTACATGAATATTATAGCAAAATTAAAATGGGATGCATTGTTAGAAATAGAGTACAATACACAATATTAAAAGGCATATTATATATATAACGACATGCTAAGAAATGGATTAAGAAGTAAAGGAATTTTGGAGGATAAGATTTTTTAAGAATATGTATGAAAGAGTTACAGAAAGGTTTTGCGAGCACAAAAAAAAGATTTTCTCCTAAAATATAAGTTGCAAAACGCCAAGTTCTATCTTAAATTTTAAACCAAATGAGCAACGCCAAGTTACAAATAGAAATTTAGTTGTACCAATATTTATGCTTGATTTTTCTTGTGATTCTTACCGTCCTATTTTCATTTGTGTATCATCTTCGGTAGTTGGCTCAACATTTAAATCAAACAAAAAGTGATTTACTATAAATATATCAACTATGGAATGGCGAATGGGTATTAAGATTGAGGTCAGATTCAACAGGCATGTTTATATCTACTTAAATTAATGGAATTTGGTAACTTGTCTTGTTGCCATGTTAGTTCAACATCTAAAGAAGTTGAGCCTTCTTTTATATGATATTTTTTGTGGGAAATGTTAAAAAACTTGTGTAAGATGAATAACGTTTTCTAATTAAATTTTGAAGAGACAATGAAATTTTGGCACCAATAAAATTTCAAGTTGAAAAGTAAATACAATTTTTGGTAGAGAAAAATTTCTGCTTCAACAAATTCGCCAATGTTAAAACGAACATGGAAAAGGCACAACAGTTTGGGTGTTCCAAACGGATTAACTTTAGTATTTAAGTGGAGACGGGTATCGGGGTGGCCCCGTCATAGGTTGCGGTTGGCCCAAAAAATCAACCCAAGACAGATTTCTCAATCATAAAAAAATTGGGAGTCATTAAGGTTAGTTAGAATTGATGAAGAATGCCCATTACTTGCGTGAGTAACAATATGAAGAAAGGTTGATGTGATTTAAGAGATAACCAATTGAGTATTAATAGGAGTAATAAATCGAGAAAAAATAAGAAATAAATATAGGCAATTTAGTAACTTACACCTTGGACTTCATGTTTTTTTAATGGATCTGCTAAAACCTTTAACAAAAATTAAAATGGGACGGAGGAAGTAGTACTAGTAGTAGTCAAATGTAATAAATGTGCGTTGACTATTAAATGCTACTATTGGAATGTGAGGCACTGTTAATCACATTTGACCTCTTCAACAGAAAGGGTAAAATTGAAAAAAGAATTAATTCTAACTTCGTATTCTAAAGAGACAGATATTTTGAAGCATTTTTTGTGCTAAAAAGACACTTAATTTGAAATAGAGAGAACATTATTCAGTAAGAGTAAATAAATTTTAAATTAAAAGAACTTTAAACAAAAACTTTTACAAGTATTACAGTAAAGCTAATTCTATATTTTGATAGTTTAATCCTTGTATAAGAATCCCAATGTTATTATTCACCAGATAACAATCCGTATTTTATTCATCGCAATTCGCATTACAATTTCCATATCTGATTATTGCATAACTAGCATGTGAAAAAAATTGCACCATAGTCATAGACAACATTCTTTTCGCAGCATCCTTTAATAAGTTTTGATTCAGAGAAGTAGCACAAAAAGCCCATTATCGGGTATAAGTACAATGAACCTTAACTCTCGTTGATTGACCATCAGGCCTTCCTTTAAAAAGTCTCATGGACTTTACTTCCATGAAGTGGACAATCATTGCTAACTGAATGTAAGAAGAACTGGCTTGTGACGTTGAGCAAAGCAACTTGAAGGTATGTGTTAGTTAGATGTTTGAAACTAGTAGTTGACTATAATTAATCAGACTCATTGTTTTGCAGTACCATCTTGGTATCTGCCTTAATAGTATTTATTTATCTTATCAAAAAAAAAATAATCAGAGTCATTGTGTGCTTTGGGATTCATAAAAGCTATTGTAGCAGGTCTTACTTATCAAAAGAAGCTATGGAAGGTGGTCTTATGAAACCTTCAAATAGCGGATCTATCAAAGCTTAATCAGTTCAGTTGGTGCCTGGTGGTTCATCCTTATGCAAACTTTTTTCAACTTAGCTGTTGGTTCATCCTTTAAACCATGTTGTGGTTGTTTACTTCCCAACCTAACGATTTTATCTTTCATATTCTATCTATAAACTGTCCACTTCGTCAATCTATGTTATCCAGACTCCAAACCTTTTTCAATTGACTCATAGTCGCTCCTTGCTTGTTTTGGACGAGTAAATAGTCTTTTTGGTATTTCAAATTCACATCTTTCACATTGTTTCTGAATCACCTCACTCTAGAATTACAACCCAAGATATTGACTAGTTTGCTTGAATGACCAAATGGTTCAAGCTTCCTATCGAGCTTAACCATCTTTGTGAATATCCAAGGTTTTCTCATGTTAACGTATCACAATGGTATCAGAGCAGTTAGTTAGTGGCAACACTGCAATATCGTTGGTCATCGCCGAAGATAGTTGAGACGCACTCTTGAAGCCCTAACCATCCAACTCATAAATCAGAATACTATCAAACTTCGGAAATGATGTCTAATGTAGGAATTAAGGGCGACATTTCACTTTTTTACCCAGATTCTTATTGGATCACAATATTAAACCTAGAGTGAAACGTCCCACCATTAATTATTAGAATTTGATCCAATTCAACTAAGCAACACACCAATCCATTCATTTAGAAATTCAATTGAACATATACAACAAGGTTGATCTGAAAAACAGGGTTTTGCCATCTTTTACATATGATAATAAATCAAAAATAGCAGCAAAAAACAATATCAGAAACAATTTGCACTAAATCATTCAAAATTTAGCTACTGAAATTCTGCAAATTTTGTATAGATCAACGTACATAATTGAAACTTATCAGTCTTGACAACATTTAGATACCACACGTATCAGCAAATAAAAAACTAAATCTCTGAAACTAATAATATGACGTAAAATATAACTAACGAAGAAAGCGGGGAAAAGAAAAGCTTACAGCAGAAGAAATGACCAAGGAAAACTTCTACGAAATCCGGCGTGTAATTCAAATTGGCAGCGACGGCAGCAGTGGCGGCAGCGAAGGAGAGGGATGCGATTAAAGGAGCGATTGGTATAAGTAAAGTCAAGCTTAAAACCCAAATATGGCAGTGTACTTTCAGTCCCTCAAGTTTCTGGGATAGTCAGTTCAAAAGCATAAACAAATTTAGCAGTTACTTTTTGTAGAAAAAGGCTAAAAATACCTTTATTGTAGCTGGTTTAAATTTACCTTGTACCTTTGGTCCAAAAATACCTATGAAAGGAAAATATTTTTCTCGAAAATAGGTGATTTTATCACTTATTTTTCTTGAGTATAAAATATTTTATTATGTTACTCTTCTCCATCCATCTTTCTTAAAATCCCCATGTTTTCTGTATTCCCCCCCCCCCCCC